AAAATTTCATTGGATTCTGTTCCTGAAGGATAGAAAAATTAGTTTTATGTGGTCGTCAATGATCTTTGGAAAGTATATTGGACATCGACGCAAGCGAAGCCGTGGTTAAAACTTATCATGAAATTTTGTACATACATTGTCAGGGGTACAGAAAAGGACATAGGGTACCTTTTATCCAGAAAAAAAATACTGTTCCCGAGGGATAGAAAAATTAGTTTTATCTGGTCGATTTCACGCCTTAACAACTCAATCGATTATCATAAAATTTTGTACATACATTGTCAGGGATACAGAAAATGACATAGGGTACTTTTATCTAGAATAAAAATATTGTTCCCATGGGATAGAAAAATTAGTTTTATCTGGTCGACGATGATCTTTGACACGTGTTTAGAACATCAATGCGAGCTACATCGCGGGTAAAACTTAGTATTTTATAATTAATAAGAAATTAATTTTGAAAATCCGACTAAAAAAAAAAGATAGTAGCACACACTATAATAACAGACAACAGGCAATATTCTGCCATCTAGCGATATTTGCTTCTGAAAATAGAGAATGCCTCTGACGTGCTGATGAGGACAAGTGAATTCGAAATCGCTATCTTCGTTTAGTACCAACCAGTTAGACTAATCTTACAGTTCAGGACATATACTTACAACATTAATCTAATTTAACAAAAAAATCAAGGAAGATGCTTTCCATAAGTTACCGACCCTAATCCTTTCTTTTTTATACGAAAGTTTAGGCAAAATTACTCATTGTCCTTTTTTTGAGCAATATTTGAATCTTATAGAGAAGAACCTACTAACTGAAACCCAGTTTTAAGACCAATTAATTATACTTTTCTTTAGCAGAATTTCATAATTCGTTTTTCTGTGTTAAAAATGAACCGTGTAAAAGTATTGAGCGAAGGCAAATAGTATCTAACTATTGTCATTAAAGTAACTGATTGTGTTTTATTTCATGTATATTTTATGTGCTAATTGCTTTAAACTTTTAACGTTTAATTGAATTCTGACCTGTTTAAAGCGTCTAGCTGAACAATAAAAATATTTACAATACGTAAATAGTTGTAGAACCAAAATGTTAAATGCTTTAAGGTGTATTTCTTCACCAACGCTATAATTTCGTTAGCGCCAAACAATTAACCTACTGTATACATACACAAATTCGAATTGTATGCAAATTTACTTACTTTTATAACGTTGGGGCACAGTTATATTGGATTCATTTATTCAAATGTACATTTTTATTCGCGTGCATACTATTCTAGACCATATCAACAAATCTGGAAGAAACTTTCGACTTCAAAAATGATTATGACTCTGTTAAAGAATGTTAAATTGTTTATACAAGTGAAAACATGCTCTTTTCTGGCAGTAGTTCATACAGGATACTGGATGAAATCTTTTTAAATAATCACGTAAATGTGACGATACCCTATAAATTAAATTTATGGGATAAAAAAGTGACGTGTCTTGGGCCAGTGAAAGTTAATAAACAATAAGGAAGTTATATTTAAAAAGAAAACGATTTTTGATATAAATTGTTTATTTAATATAC